GTACGGAACCGGATGAAATCGTCGAAAAAGAAAGTGACGATCCAGAAGCGGCAGTTTTAACGCAGAATAATAGTGAAGTAATCATAATAGAATCACAGAGTTTCCAACAAATGATAGAAAAGATGCATCAGAATCACCAATTTCAGTGCCTCCAAGTACTGAAAGAAAAGAACCGAGATTAGCTTGCCTAAACGAAGCCTATGGTCAAGCTCTGCTGAATATAGGAATATCTACAACAAAAATTATCAAAGAAAACGACAATTCCAGAGCCAAGTGATGACCAAATTGTCTTTAAGAGTTTGCTACCATTCGTGGAAAAGATACCTTCACATCGAAAATTAATGTTTAGAAGTTAGTCCAAGAACTTGTGCAAAAATTTGCCTTTGACGAGTCATTAGATGTCTTTCCAAATAGAAGTACTGATTCCAGTTAGCAGTCTAGCAGTCTAGGGCAATGTACTACATTTCCACATCCTGGCGACACATCATCCACAACTTCTATCAGCCAAAGTATGGAGTTTTTTTTTTTTTTTAATGGCACTGGATAAAACCAAAAGGCCAGACTATTGTAGTAATCCATAACTCTTTAATTGTTTTATCCACTATTGTTACATGATTACATTATTATTATTATATTTTGACTTACAGCTATCAAAATACCTGAGTTTGTAATTAATTATAAAAAATGTCTATTTTTTTATTATATGTATTTTTGATTATAGACCTACTAAAAACTTATAGAACTAAGGTATTTATTAGGATAATTATTATTAGGAATTATCTTGTTTATCCACCATTTATCTGTTACCAAAACAATTTTGTTGATAAAGAAAAGTCCTTGTTGATATTATACTTGAGACTATATAACTAATAATAAATAAATAATATTTAATTTTAGTTATATACCTATTATTTTACCACATAAGTAACACATGAAATTTTTAAATATATCTCTGACTAATTTCGCTGTTCCTGTAGGTCGGCCAACATTCATATTAAAACCTCCATTTAATTCATCTGGAATTAGTACCACCTCTGACAAATATCTTTCAAATACCTTCTTTATTCATTAATACATTTTGTAGCAAACACACCGTTTTTTTAATGTGATCGGCTACTTCTTCATTAGTTTCTATGGCTTTTGATATCAAACGCCACTTGGAATATAAAATTCCAGATGCACATTCAACTGTTTTTCGGACTCTTCACAACCGACTGTTAAAATATTCACTGTCAAAATCAAGATGGTCTTCTCCAAATGGTTTTAGTAAATTATTGAGTAGTGGGTAGGCTTCATCGCCAATAAAAACGTAAGGCAATCTCTACATTTGTATCAGGCAGAAAATCACTAGGCGGAATATTGAAACGATCTTTTGATAAAACAGTTTAAACATTTCGAATGATCTAAATGTACTTCCATCGCATTGCTTTCCATATCCGCCAACGTCTATAATGATGAATCTGTAACGAGCATCTGCGATAGCTTGCAATTCAATCGAAGAGAAATGTTTATAATTAAAATACATGGTGCTTGAATATTTTGGGCATGTAATACGCATGTGTTTCCCATCGATGGCACCCAGACAATTTAAAAAATTCCATATTTCCTAAAACTCTTTAGCAGTTTTTTTGAAATCATCAGTCTTAAGGGGTGGCATATGAATGGATTGTAATACTTACCAAATCACCATCACAGTATGCTTTACAATTACTTTACAGTTACTGTCTCCCATTCTAAACTAGAATGCTAAATGTACAAATGATGCGGCAGTACATGTATATCTAAAAGCATTATTTTCCATTAAGTTGTATTGAGAATTACAGTCACCGTGCACTGTGACTGGCAAAATTGGTTGATTATGACAGTTAAGCCATTTCTTTTGTAGGCGCAGGGTTATCATCCTAAATATGTAATCAAAAGTTTTCTGTTGCATTCTTCAATATAAGAAAAAGCGATCGGGATAATTACATAACTCTTTGAATAAATGATGATATTTTACAAATTCTTGCCTATTTTAATTAATAGGATGTACCGCAAACCAATGTTCAGCTTTTTCTGTAATAAGAATCGCTTTGTAGAGATTTTTTCTAATAATAAATCAAAATCATCACTGTCATTACTTGAATCATCCATTTTAGCCACACCTTTGCACACTTCGCGGGTTGATTTTCATATATGACCAGCTACAATCTATGCATTGACATGCGAATATCTAGTGTTTTTAAACTCTACCAGCAACCATCCAGGTTCGTTGTACGGATACCCTAAGACCGCTACCGGCTGTTTCGCAAGGACAAAGGTATCGTGTCCATTTCAATTTATGTTTAAACTTATTTGCACTTGAGTGCAATAATCACTTCAAGTACTAACATTAATTATTAACTAAAACAACACAAATTGTACCTAGTTAATAAGGATTAATTTTGCTTACGCAGATAATTTTTTTGTATGAACGTTTTTGGCTGTATTCCTTTTTTTGCTGTTTGTTCTTTTTCAATAAATGATATAATTAATAAATTTTTACTATTAAGTTTCAATGAACTCAAAGGCAACTAATATTAAGAAAAACATAAGAAGTACTGGATTCTATTAGAAAAACAGTTTCCTGAATTCTCATGTGTATGTAATAGTATATTACGCAACAAGAGTTGTAAGTAATCCATTACGGGCGAAGTAAAAAAGTTTTCGCAGGAAGCCGCTCAGCGGCGAGTTCGTACATTTCACGAGTGCGTAATGGGATTACAACTCGTGCAACATACTATACTTTTTATACGCCCACTTATTTTCTTCTATTAAATAAAGGACATCGCAATGATTTAAACTTTATTATAATAGTTGTTAATAACAACTGAACAATTATAATTGTAGTACTGCACGGTACCTTAAAAGACGAAGATTGATAATTGGTAATCGCCTCTGATATTCGTAATGCATTGTCATTTTTATTTTTAAGAGAGTGATTCACCTAGCCTTCCGCCACTGTAGAAGATTGCCAGCCACCAAGTCGCTTTAAGAATAGCATATCACCTCCTGAATCAACTAATATAGTGGCTGATGATCTCCTAAAACGATGACTAGTAGATTACTTTGGTTCTGACAGTTGAAGATATTCAGCAATTTTACGTGGAGTACTACTACCGATCTCCACAACCTGTTTCACGCATTGTCCATTTCTGTAATTAACAAATAAAGGAAATTTCATTTCAGGAGTACGCAAATTCATGTACTTTTGACATGTGATACAAAACGTTTCTGGTACTACAAATGAACGTCTCGTTTTAGTTTTAGAATCTAGACCATTAATTCTCAAGGATTTTTCCGTGTTCTGAATGTGATGATAATTTCACAATATTTTAATTCTTTACCTTTAAAAACAAATCTTTATCGTCTGTGGCATCATTCACAAACTTATTAATTTATTCAGGAGAAAGATTTTTTTTTACTTCTAAATCCATCCAATTTCCGCTACAGAAGGGCGATTAGTTTTGGATAATCTACTATGTTAATGTTATTATTGTTTATTGTAGCTCTCAGCATCGAATAAATGGCCCATAGAGAAGATAGCTTCATAGTTTTTGATATTTCTTCAAAATACACAATTAACATATTCTCCGAAAAGGATTTAACGTCATGCTTGTGTCGTCAATTCATAAATTTTCAATAGGTAATTTGGAACCTATCTTTGGATTTTAGCGGTAACAAATGATGTGTGGCAGCTTGAACTTTTTCTAAAATCTTTGGTGGAGTGCTCATAATTTCATCACTTTCACCACTAACAGATATATTCGTAGGTAAAGTTGAAAAAATGTTCGGATACAATTTTTTGTTTCAAAAATTGACAATATAAATGACAAGACGTTTATGTCCATAGCTAAGAAAACGTGACTTATTTTTTAAAAAATTGTATAATGTGTGGCCTAGGGGCATCACTCTTATTCCAAAATGTATCTCGCTAAGATCTCGCTAATGCTAAATGTTTTTTAGTTGGCTAAATTTATATTAATAGACCAAATAAAGTCGTATGTAGATAAAAATGTTATTGCAATTTGATTAAACTAAGAAATTTTAGTTTTCTTATCAAAAGGCACGTGTATGTTATAAGATCTCATTAGGTGCATGTTACTGTTAAATGTCATTTACAAGGAATGTTGACAGTGCGATTTTTAACCTTTACTGATATGGGCGTAGAAAAAATTATTCTCAACAAATTTGACATATTTATTGACCTCTGCTGGTCTGCTGGTTTAGAGCAAAATTAAGGCCCGTATCACAAGGAAATGAAAAGGCGGGTAAACTTGCCAAAGAGAGATCCGAACTACCATTCACAGGACTTGAACCTGTATTTGGGATAGGCAAAGCCTCTGCTCAACAGGCAAAGAACAAGTTGATAATCACATAATACCAAATTCACCGACAACATATAAGAGGGCACATAATCAGTAAGCTTATGCTAAGGGGACCAAACCCACGCATGGCTGCTGAAGTACTACAAGCCCGCAAGATCTCAGATATCTACCGTTGTTAAATTAGTAACGGGAAACTGCTTACTGCAACACCTTCATATGATGGAATTACAGAATATTCCCAGCACGTGTAGACTTTGCATGATAGAGGAAGAAACCTCATACCATGTTATCTTTAAATGCGAAGCGTGTCTCGAACTGGAAAGATCGCCCCAGGAACACTTGGTAGGGAACTTAGTGAAACTAACCAAAAGCACAAAACTATTCCAAAGATAGTACCTGTTTACGGGGAAAGCTGGGAATATAATAGACCCAAGGGGCAACAGTGTTTTAGGCCAAATATAACCTGTTTATAACCGATAAAGATAAACACTTAAAAATGTACATGGCACAAAAGGTGTGCTTAACCGTGTAATCGAGCCCATTATTCACCAGGGTTCTAAGAAACTTTGTTGCGCCACTGGCACCCCTTAACTAAATATTTAGGAAATGTAGAAATTAATTTTTGTGGACAGTGATTTCAACTATCGATTAAATTCACTGCTTGTTGACTAAACCGGAAATTTGGTTGTCCTTTTAAATGAAACAAATAATTATTATGAAAACCGTAATATGTTGAAAGGTTAGACACGTGACCATCAAAGGAAGTTTAATTTACTTGGCAATTTGTTACTCAGAACCAAAAATGATTATAGTCACTTCAGGTAAGTAAATTGATATTGTCTAATATCGATGTAGCACGAAAGAAGCTACACTTTGTTGTAGTTTTATTAGCTTCCTTATTTTTATATTTTACAGTCATTTAATTAGTAAATAATGCCGTTAACATGGTTATAAAGGCCGTGTTCATCGTCGTCAAACATGTTTTAGAAGCAGAGAAACACGTTTCATAAGCGGTTGGTATGACGCTGAACGCTCATTTTTGTTTACGATTTGTTTTCTCAACCTCAAACCTGTCAAAAAATTGAATGACATTTGGTTGACACACAGAAGGTTATGTGAATTGTTTTCCTTGGTATTTTTTAATAAATTTTGAGTTGAATTGATTTGTAGAGTGAATTAGAGTTTACATAGTACCCTGCTGAAAGTGGTTTTGAAAATTTTACGGCGGAAAAACCCACAACTTATTACATATAAAATACATTTTTTTGGCACAAATAAAAACCTACTGTAACTAGATCATACTTCGAAGAGCAACATGAGAATGCTATTTATTGTGTTTAATCAACTGTCTGGTCTGCATACCGATAAATTAAAGTAAAGGAACTCATGGTACAAATAACATACATCTCAAAAAGTGATCTTTTTATATGTAACAAGGATACACGAAAGTGTATAATAATAATAGAGACATCAAGTATGACTTTCTTATTTTTAGGGAAACCGAGTTCCTTCGAATTTAGTAATCATTATTAAACTGGACTTCAGCAGAAAACATGAGGCATGTTTCTCAAACCAGTTCAAAACTAAAGTGTTATATTGACAGAAAAAATTAAGTTGAATGGATGTTTTACCTGAAATAAAAAATTATATTACAGAATAGAATTTATGTACATATATTTTCCTTTAATAAAAATTTCCAAAAAGTAGTTTAAAGATTTGCAACAAAAAATAAGTTGAGGCAATTTGATTTTGGAAATTTAAATAATTGCCAAATGATAAATTTAATGATTGGATATATAAATTATTAGACAAGTTCAACCTGATTAAATAGAATAAACTCACCTTTCCAACCAGAATATGAAAATTATTTACAACTTTCGGTGCAGTTTTAATAACAAAACGGGTGTTGGCCACTTGGTCGCCGCGGTTAGTTTTGTCAGCGGGGTTCCGTAATCTCATCGACCACTTGGTCTCCAGTTTTAAAATCAGGTAGGCCTCTTGGTCGCCGTAGTTATCAATCATTAAATGTATCTATTTCGATTTATTGAAAATAATATTTTTAAGAAAAAAATAGTTTTAACTGATTTTTATTATTTTCCACGCGAATAGAAATTTTTAACTGATATGATATGGTACAGAATGTGGGTCAGGAAAAGAATAAAACCAAATTAAAAAAACACTTATAATTAATAGAAAACAATATAAAATTATACATAATAAAAAAAAGTAGGTACAAAATACCAAATAAAAATTATTTAAGAAACCCAAATTGCAATTAGTTTTTGTAATGATAAGAAACTACTTTGATAAATTGAGTTCGTGAAAGGATCTTATTTTTATATTGTTCTATTACGTTCGTTAAATACGCATGCCGTTTTTTGTAATTAGCGTTTTTAATTTTGTTAGGTATATGTGTACTGTTTAATTTCACATAAGTATTTAACTGAATATCGAGAATTACATTAACAAATTTGAATATATCGGGATGCGCCGAATAAAAAGCAGAATTAAAATGTTTGTGGAAAGACTCACAAGCATTTGTTGTGCGTTCTGTGGAACTTGTGCACGATGCCCACATTGTAGGCGGGAAGTCAGACGTATCGCTAGTATACGTATTAATCATATAAAGAGTATATGAAGTTAATCTCTCGTCAAATGGCATTATTGGAATTAAATCTTTACAAAAACACTCTGCCACTTCAGTACTTTCCAAAAATAAAATGCCGAAAGTGTAATGAAGCCATTTGCCGATTTCAGAATTTTCATTTTTATATTCGGAAATCAAACCCAGATTTTGTATCTTACGTAACCACGATTGGGTTAAATGAAATCTACATCCAATAATTAAGATATCAGGCCAAATCTGTATAATACCAGTGTGTATGGCTTTCTCAAAATCGCAAATAACTGGTAAAACAAAAAATGCCAATGGTATGTAGTGTCCGTTATCAACAGCATGTATAGTGAAAAATTGTAAAAAAAATTTAGGGCAATAATTAAATGTGCCGTCGCAATAAATACTATCACGAGAACACAAGTATTTTAAATTTGAATCACATGAAAATAAAATAATTTGTGAATCTTCATTGTTAAATAATAAAAATTGTTCACCCTTATTTGTAACACTTTTAAAATAAAAAAATTAATCTTTTCAGTAAGAATGCAGACAATTAACTGATGAAAAATATTTTTATTTTAGTTCTCGACAGGTCACAAACCGATATTATAATTAGAGTAATTAAATAACCCCATAATTTTCTTGGAACCCTTAATCCAGGTTTGGAGACCAAGTGGCCTATACCTTTCGAATAGCGAAAGGATTAAATTTGGGTAAAACTGACCGCGGCGACCAAGAGGTATATTCCCAACAAAACACTCATCTGTTTTGAATAATAACTCTGTGCTAAAACTATATATTAATATGTTTGTTATGTTATCCATATTCCTTATTAGTGGAATATCATTATCGCCCAAATGAAATAATTTAAGCGTACGTATATGCATCTACGTCTGGAATTAATTTTTATTTTCTTCAAACAGGTACCCGAGAATACCGATCAAGGAGAAGCGACAGTAGCTGTCGGTACCTTTGATATCGGATGTACCTTTTTCACAGTTGACTGATACACAACTTAGCACGCTGAGAAAACAAGCTTATTTTCTACACTGAGCGAAATAGTTTGCCAAATTATCTGAAATTATTGTTATAGTCCATGCGCAAATGTTGCAATGTGATTTAATTACATTGAAGTAGTTAGGGTTATTAGCAATGCTGAAATTTCGGCGCCAAAATATAATTCATTATGTAATAATTAATTATTTATTACTAAAGTAAAAAACGTTTATTATTTTATAGTTTATCTATAAAATTTGTTCAATATTTGGTTTATTTATTGTTAAAAATGTAATAAAATCCCCATATTTAAATTAAATTACCTTTTCCTTAACTAAAAATAAGGTAAATAAAATTAAGGGTGTCAAAAAAAATTTAGGTAATAATTAAAAAGACATTAAGTTTGAGAGGTTTAACTAAATATTTGCAATGTGCATATATTTTCAAAGCTTTTAGGTTTACAAAGTACTTACATATTTTTAGAATTTCTAGATTTATATTATATTAAAAGGACTTTCAAGTTTATCACTCATTTCTGTAGAAACAAGTGTTTTCTCTCCAAGTTAAACCAGATGTCATTTAAGGTTTATGTATTTAGCGTTAAATACCTGGCCTAATTAGTAAAATAGAGCAGTTTCGCGAGCTTGGACATGTAAGGCAGATAAAAAAAAAACAGCTGCCAATGCAATAACTAATCATACCAAATTGGATACTATTCTTGAGTTTCCGGAAAACCCACATACTTCTAGTCGACAAGCAGCCATAGTCGTTATTGGCCATTTATCGATCACTCGAACATTAAAAAAATAAAATACATCCCTATAAAATAATATCAACTCAGGAGCTCATGACAGACGATTTTGATAGGAGAACGCAATTTTGTGAACAAATGATGGCATTGTTAGATAATATGGTGATCCAATTAGAACATGTTTTTTTTCTGATCAGTGTATCTTTACGGTCACGCTAATCGCCAAAATTGCCGCTGTTGGTCTAGTAAAATCCTCACTGTATGTGAGAAGAACATACGCAATACCTTCAATAGGTTCATGTTTGGGCAGGAATTGTTGGCGATCATATCTTAGGTCCCTTTTTCTTTGATGGAAATTTAAATGGCGATAATTATTTAGCACTCCTCCAAAATAATGTCGTGCCAACTTTAACGAACTTATATCCCGATCCAGCAAACCCAAAAGTTTCAGCGAATATGATATGGTTTTAGTAAATTGGAGCACCGCCCTACTACCAAATAAATGTCCGCCAGTACCTCAATCGAGTATTTCCAAATGAGTGGATAGGCAGGCGAGGATCGATGTAAAGGCTAGCACGATCAACTGATATGACATCATTAGACTTTTTCTTATGGGGATATGTCAAAAATATTGTAAATAAAACTAAACCTCTCGACCTAGCTGAATGAAGAAGACAAATAACGCTTGTGATTAGATCGGTCACGGCTGAGATGTTGACAAGAGGTTCGCGGCGAGCATTTTAAACATCTCCTACATCTTGGAAGGATTTTGTTTCTTCTTACTATTTTTTTTTTGAGAATATTTTGAAAAAGGGTTAATATGTTATTGGAACCTCTCGCTTTTCGTAGTTTTTTATTTTAGGATCTTGAATTTTTCTATGTATTTCTTTATATTTATTTCATTTTCTTCTTGTGGGCTTTAGTGTAGTTATTTTAATATCGATTTCGAATGGATCTTTTGCTTTTAAGTGACCATTTAGAATGCCTATGGGTTTTAGTTCTGTCACAGAATGTATGGAATTGTTGTAATCAAGTATAGCATATAACATTTGTTCTTTAATGTTTATTTTTTTCTGCTTTACTCGAATGAAATCCTTAGATGTTCCAGAATAGTGGAGCGAAATCGTTCTATCATTCCATTAAAATGTGGGCTATCTTGAGTAGTATAGTGGATAGGGATTTTATTATCTATGTCCACAAATTCCTGCATTAGTCCATTTTTTATTTCGATACCACTATCTGCGACTATCAGGTATGGAAGTCCATGATGTGTGATGAAAATAAGGAGATCGTTCAAGACGTTGATTACGTTGGCTCCTTCTATGGAATATGCTTATCCATATTTAGAGAAGGCATCTATGATGGAGACGCTCTCTAGATTGGCATTATAAAAGATCTGAGTTTTCGACACCCCCAGAAAACTATATATCTGCGTAATATAAAAAAAAGTTAATTTGAATGTTTACCTTTTAACCAGATATACTGTGTTGACGTAAATATCAAGTTGATATTTTTACAAAACATATTTAATAAATTTGCTTCGTTGCATTATGTCACAAATATAAAAAAATAATCCAAGTAACATCTAAAGCTGGTTACAATAATTTGGTCAGCAATTTAGCTGATAGATGTACACTAGTGGTGAAGTCTTAATAAGCCAACTGACTGATCAATAGGTTGTATATAAGCCTCTTCTGTTTTTCTGTAAACCATTGTAGCGCCAATTAACATTAGCTGCACAATACTGCCGTGCTAAGCACAAAGGTGGTAACTGCAATAAACTTTAATTCAAGAAATTTAGATATTTCGATGCGTAAACTTTGTGGTTCTGAAAATCGGCATTATAAAGTTTTAGGTGTGACTGTTTATAGTCATTTTACTTTAATTTTGTGACTTTTTGAATTTTTATTTCAAAATAATTAAAGATTGATATAAAAATCATAATCTTTTCAACTTTCCACTTATTAATGTATTTTTTTAATTGCTTATTACTACAGCATATTGCGGTATGTAACCAATGATTTAAATTTTGAGATAAAATGACCATTTACATTTATTTTATTTTTGTTTTATAAATTGAAATCTTTATTAACGAGGTACTAGTTATAATAATTAATTTTGTTATTAACCAATTTTAAAATAATGACAAAACAAATAAAGTATAAAAAAGACAGGAAAAAAATAAAAGCTACATGTGATAATTTTTTAATCTTCTATTTCATCGTTACTTTCACAATCATTTGTCGGTAAATCTTCCCAAAATTTTAATCTAGTTTTTGGGATGATACCACTTGAAGAACTTAATATCAGATTTTTTAGTAAGGCTTTTTTTTTATCTTCGGAAATTCCATTAGCAGTCTTCTTCTTCTTATTTGGTTCTAAAATACCTTCTTTGATTATTTTCACCTAAAGGAAATTAACTATTTTGAAATGTGGGTTCTTAAACAAATTTTTATAAAATAACCTCAATTTTCCTTTTTCTACTTTAACTTCACTAAAATTTTTAACATATGGACGTTCTGCATTGCACCTAATATTTTTCAATTTATGCACCTAGCTACAATCTTGCAAATCATAAAAATCTTCAATTTTTATCTCAAGAATATCAATTTTTTTAGCAGCATTTGACACACAATTTTTAAAATCTTCAAAGTCTTTTTTTTGTCTTTTAGTTTTTGCTCGACTCGATAATGGGTCCTATGATTGAACGTTTACGTTATCCGTAACGTACATGTTAGGCTCAGTTTTAACAGTAATTAGGCAAGTTCGTATGATGAAAAACGGTTTCCAATACATTACTGTTATTTTCCGCCTGTTATCTTCTAATTTCACAGTTTTCCATCGTCCGAACTAGCCTCGTTACTTTTAAAATTCGGCATAACATGTACGTTACGGATAACGTAAACGTTCAATCATAGGACCCATTATCTGCAGACATGAATGTATGACCCTGTTCAAAATATTTGATCCTGGATGTTTGTTGCTGTCGAATATACGATATAAACTAAAAAACTAAAAAAAGTCCAGTTTTTATTCTGAGAAGTGCAATTATCAACCCATAGTATCATTTTTTTAGTATCACGATGCAGTTTAAAAAATTTATAATAAGTACTGACAATATCTTCTTTCTTTCTTCCACTTATAGCTTCATGCCATATAGCTGCTGCTGTACGAATATTCGAAGTAGATTTCCCTACTGGAACAAAGCTTTCGTTGTAAGTTGTTAAACGTTTTATAAAAATAACATTCTTAAACATGTCGCATCGGGGTAACATAATTACTTTTTGAAGATCAACTGAATAGATGAAACAATCTTCTTCACCTTGCTTTTTCACATCTTTATCGTATTCTTCTCGAGCATTTATAGCTGCTTCTTTGTGCTTTATCCATATGTTGCACTCCTCACAATCTGCTTGAATAGTATCCTCAGAATGACCATGGAACTTAAAATGTTCGCAAAATTCGCATTCTTCATGGCCAAGTTGCACAAAAGAAATATTGAGACTCCAAATTGCCTTCCTATAATATTCATACGGACATGTATTAGGGTGTTTTGAGTTAAAATAATTGTACAATTTTTGGACAGATAAATCACTGGGGAGATATAAACGCTGTGGTGCATGACTTCTTCGATAATGAGATATATTAGGTTTAAAAGATTTTATATGAGCAATGACTAGATCACTATCTTTTATTTTATTTGCGTGGCTCTTTACCTCTTCTACCATCAACTTTAGCTCGAAAAGAAGATTTTAGATTGAGTGCAAAAATATTTTGAATAATTCTATCATTGTTTATTGCATATCCAAGCGTGCTAAGAAAAAAAGATTTGCATACTTGTTGATTATTCCCATTTGCCATTTTAAAGAAATAAGACACTGAATTATTTCTCCTTGATTCTGAGCAGACTGTACTTCTTTTTTTAATTATTCTCTTATTTTGACGTATCTTAAAAATACTAAGGGTTATGGACGTATTTGTTTTCAAAAACAACAAAAAAGGCTTAGTTTTTTGCAGATACGGCACTTTAAAGTAGTGTTTGAGGTAGAAAAGAAAGATACGACTATTTTTATAGATCTATTTTAAATAAAATATTGACTTTTCATGTTTAATAACTTAATAATAATGTTGAAAAATTGATAATTTATGTTTTATAATCAAAAACTCATTTTTCTTAAAAAAGTCAGTTACCACCTTTGTGCTTAGCATGGCAGTATAGTCTGTAAGAGCAATGGTTAAGTCGAATTGTATATTTTTATTTAGCTACTTAGCATAGGCTGAACATAAAGCTGAAGAAGCCCTGTTGCAGTCCTAAAGTTCATCACTAAGTTCGTCACATAGACTGGAATAGCACTACTTAAGTCAAATTGTATACTTTATTCAGCTACTTAGTAGATATGGGCTGAACATCAAGCTGAAGAAGTCCTGTTGTAGTCTTAAAGTACACCACTCATCAGCAATTAGATATAAGCTTAATATTAAGTTGAATGAGTTCTGTTATAGCTTATTTTGTTACTTTTTGTTTAGTTGCTTGCAATTAGCTGTCCATTGACATAATAAAGTGTTGAGACAGTTCGATTATATTTATATTGATTCTTCAGAAATATGAAACAAGCTGAAGAATGGATACCTATACCACTTTTCAGCAGTGTTTCTTTTAATATGGACTGGCTAAAGAATGAAGTTTAATGCTGCTGAACTATTGCTTTAATAATACTTTTTCAGCTATGTATTGTCTAGCTGAAATAATAAAATGTTGGCGGTCAAACAACCCATTTTACTCTAAAACGTTGTTCCCTTTCTGAGATTTAGACATAAGCAGTTGTAAGAGCAATATTAGAAAAACAAAGAAAATGGATGTATTGAAGTAATAAAAAAACTCTAAAAGAAAAATCGCGATAATTGCGAACAGAATTTAAAAACGTTATAAGTATTCATTGGTACAATAAAATATAAGTAATTTTTAGGTTGTTAGGTGGGCTAGTAGGTGAAGATGCGTACCTGCGGATTGAGAGTAAGTGGTGTCATGAGTTTGAATTCAGGAAGGATATAACAAACAAAATAATGTTTAAAGAGACTGTTTGTAAAAATATGAATACCTAGGTTGGTTTTTGGAAAAAATTAATTATTACATTTATATTTAAATAAAACAAGAAAATTATTATTGCTATGTTGAAAATAAGTCTGTATAAAAGTTGAACTACAAAGTTGTTGTATAATAACTGCTATCCAAGCTATTTAAAAGCTGAAAAAGCACTTTCTCTGCCGATTATCTTCTCTTTTTTAGCTGTTTAGACTAAGGAACTAGGCAACTTAACCTCTATTATTCAACTCGTTAGCTGAACATGTAGCTGATAAAGCGCTACGATAATAGTAAACCTACTTAAATTGTTTGTTGGGAATGTAAACCCTAGATAACTGAAAATGTAAAATAAATGTTAAACGTAAGGAACAATGCTCTAAGTCGTTTTAAACGAAATAAGGAGTGAACTGAAATGATTGACGGTAAAACAAGCTCGTTGTTTGAATTGCTGTTGCCTATTTTAAAAAATTTTACTATTTAAAACGCTTGCATATCTACATATTATAACAAAATAAGATTCTAAAGCGATGTACATAATCTTAATATCCGTAGAAGAAATTTTGTATCAATCCCATAACACAAGACTAAGTTGTTTGAAAGCTCTTTTACTGAAGTATTTTACAAAATAATTAACCTTCTCCCCTAAACTTAAACACATGTCTGTAGGTGCATTAAAGCGTAAAATAACATGTTATATATTAAATGGTGACATTGTAGTATCATACTATTATTATTATTATTATTAGTTGTTACGAATTGGTTCATTCATAAAACGTGTGTTCGTACCTCAGATAAACGAACTGGCACAGGCCCCTCACTTAATTTAGCAGGTGTCTCGCTTTTTCTAATATAAAACACAATCTAAATACTTCCGATAAATAAAGGATTAATTATGATTAGTCTAGTAGTTTTTCGTCGTTTCTCTAACACACACAGTAGCTAAGAAATCGTTTGTATCACTTGATCAGTAATATATTAGCCGAGTAAAACTTAAAATAGACATTTAAAACTAATATGAAAATTAGGTAGAAGCTTTACAAATCATTGTATTTCAGGAGGTACAATGCCAATTTAAGGGTTAAAACTAAAAAGGACAACATTTGGACTTAACTTAGTCTGACTCTAACACACAGATATATATTCTACTAATAAATATACTTATATAATGTATCCACCTTTCAATGATATCTGTGATTCTATGAACTTGGTCGATGGTCAAGTGTTTTTTTCTGAGGAAAAACTAGTGAAAGGGTATTAGGTCCTCTTCTTTTATTACAGGTTTCAATCTCTTAAGAAGCAATGTTATATTTATATTCATTTCATAGAGTATCGAGATAACAGGTAACAAGGAGATGGGTCTGTACGATGTAACTTTATGGGGAAGTTATCCTGGCTTAGGTATCATTATAAATTTTAATTTTCTTTGCTGAGCAATACAAATAAATGAATATTTCTTTTCTGTTTTAATTTTAAATAGGTGTTTTATAATTATTTTATAAGATCAAACTAATTTTGATAGTCCATAGTCCTGCATGCTTTATTTAGTTCACAGATAAGAAATACGTCCACTAAATAATAATTAAGCTTATTCTCAATAATTTGTTTGCACACTTTGTTAATTTTTTTTTTATATATATATATAACTACCCTTGTCCTCTGGTGGCACTTATAGTTAGATAGGACCCAAGCAAATAAAATGAGTAATTAAACATGAAAAGGAAATTGAACATTTCTTACTTGCTTTAGACGTTAAATCCGAATTTTCCAGTAATATGTTTTGTTATTCATAATATATCTAGATATGTTTTCTATCAATTATTGGGATTTCTAAGGGTTTATTTAGTCTTTTCTCCATCCAAATTATGTAAATTCTAATGGATATAATGTCTTTATTAGCTGCGTTTCCAACACTTCATTCTGTGAAAGGCACTGTTGCATCATGTCTAGTTACTGAATTCGCACCGATTGTTCTGCCAAGTAAGCCACATGCTTGAATATTTAATTTGACGGGTATTCTTCTTTGTAAGAGATGCACGCGCGCCCTAAACGGCCTTAAGGAAGGGTATTGTAGCTGATCTATGATTGCACGGTGGTGGCCAGCCACATGAAAAATTCCCAAATGCCTCCTAACGACGATTAGACCATAATATTTTTGAGGGATTTCTGAATTGAATGTAATCTATAATGCAATAAATAGCGTTTTTAAATGAATACATATCAAGTTATGGTCAGAGTATAGTAGTTATATTTTAATTATTTAGCTTTAGTTGTTTGTTTTATTTTTGTTTTTTATTTAATGTCATTCAATCATCATTTTTTAATTTATGACTCATATTTAAAAAAAAAATATTATTCCTACAAATTTTTGCCATATTCTTTTTTTTTAACTAATTTGTATTATTTTTAAAATGTTTCGATACATAAATGAATTTTTTCCAATCCAGAAGCAAAATAGCCAGATCCACTTTTAATCTTTCTTCATTACATTAGCATCGTCGGAGGACCGTCACTACTGCTTACAGTTTTTATGTCCTTGAAGTTTTTTGTCGTAAATTTTTCTGGAAAAATTAATCACGCAAATGTGCATAAATGGCATTTTTTTAAATGGGTAATTTGACTCTTTTCTGCCGTGAAAAATAAAATTTTGAAATAAACCCGTTTTTATGCTAATTTTATTGGAAAGTTAGCACTACCAATCACGAAAATGAGCAGAAATTACATTTTGTTTACATGGATAATTTATCGCTTTTTGTCATAAATATGTCGTAGATAAATAAAAGTTGTCGCTCCTATCCCCTTTTTGAAGTAAACCCCTTTTAATTCTTATTTTGATGGAAAATTAGCACAAAAATTTACGAAAATGAGCATTAATGTAATTTCTTATATGGATAATTTGTCGCTGTTCTGTCGTATATTTGTCGTGAACAAAAATTAATCCTCCCTCTGTTTAATTGATGATCAAAAAATGGTAAAACTATGATAAAATCGCTTTATTTCTTATGATAAAATTGCCTATTCTAGAATAATTGGTAATCCTTAAATAACCATACCCGGATTATTTTAGAAAGGTGACAAGCTACAAATATCATTTTTACTTTCCTATCTGTATACAGATATAAGGAAAGTATAGGAATCATGATTTTTTTCGACCTCGAGTTTTCGACGGATTTTTACGTTTTGAGGTCCCCTGAATCCGTTTTGACTATTTTCGCGATGATGTCTGTGTGTGTGTGTGTGTGTGTGTGTGTGTGTGTGTGTGTGTGTGTGTGTGTGTGTGTGTGTGTGTGTGTGTGTGTGTGTGTGTGTGTGTGTGTGTGTGTGTGTGTGTGTGTGTGTGTGTGTGTGTGTGTGTGTGTGTGTGTGTGTGTGTGTGTGTGTGTGTGTGTGTGTGTGTGTGTGTGTGTGTGTGTGTGTGTGTGTGTGTGTGTGTGTGTGTGTGTGTGTGTGTGTGTGTGTGTGTGTGTGTGTGTGTGTGTGTGTGTGTGTGTGTGTGTGTGTGTGTGTGTGTGTGTGTGTGTGTGTGTGTGTGTGTGTGTGTGTGTGTGTGTGTGTGTGTGTGTGTGTGTGTGTGTGTGTGTGTGTGTGTGTGTGTGTGTGTGTGTGTGTGTGTGTGTGTGTGTGTGTGTGTGTGTGTGTGTGTGTGTG